CTGGCCTTTGCACAATTTTTTTAATTTGTGAAATTTGTTTTTTACTGTAAACATTTCTTACAATGCATCTATCTTTGAACATCAAATCCAAGGAGTCATCACTGCAACAGAGATTACATTGCAGAAATAGCAAGTGTAAAGAGTAAGACTTCAATAAGAGGCAGTTCTATAGGGAGGACGCTAGATCAGTGCAATGTATAGCTTGAACTTGTAGCAAGGAATTGATTATATTTATTGCTATGGATACATTCTCAGACATTTTTAACATCAAACATTCAACCATCAGTCATTTTCTGGTTGCTTCTATCATCCGAATCAAAAGACTACACAGAAAATGAATACTGTTATAACACTCAACAACCAGTCTTATGACTATAGAAAAAGGTTTTTTTTCTTCCCTTGAGGTTTATTTTTAGCTATATGTGCAAAAGTAAAAAAAAAAAAAAAAATCTGTGAGAAAATTCCAGCCTTTTTTTATTCGTGAATATAAATGCATCATGCCAAACATAATACAGTTTGAATAAGCCTGATGAAGTGTTGAGCTTGTAGCATCTCACATGCCCCATGGAATCCACAGTTGACCATATTTGAAAACCAGGACATCAGGATGTAAAAATTCACATATAAAAACTACTACTCACCTTTTCTACTACTGAAGCTATATCTCAGTGCTATCATTTGCTACTATTTCACAAAAGGACAGATCTGCATAATGTGTGTGTTTGAATAAAGGCACTTACAGATGGCTCTGTATAACAACTAAGCCGAGGTTTATCCAATGGCATGTCAGAGCTTCAAATAACCGAAACAAGAAAAGCATAGATAAAGGAGTGACCTAAATGGTAAATACCACAGATCATTTAAAAAAAAAAAAAAAGTATATTTGCTTATTTACTTCCCGATTTCTATGGATACAGGAGGGTGGATAGGAAGGAACACGTTGTCTTGACTACAATTATTTCTATCAGTGTCTGTTTGTTTCACAGATTGCTTAAAGGGATACTATGGTTCCCTCGTGTCCCCCTCACTCCCCCCAGTGACCCTACCCTACCCTCAGTGAAGGGTTAATAAACCCTTACACTATTCCCTTGCAACTGGGTCGGTGCTTCGCCTCCTCTGACATCACCCGATGGGGGATGCTAATGTGCATTGGCAGTGAATGCCAAAAGCGCATTAGGCCTCCCCATAGGAAAGCATTGATGCAATGCTTTCCTATGGGGAATTGACTGACACTACATGTCCTCATGCAGAGAATAAGGACGTCCAGAATCAGTAAGACAGCCATCAGGAAGTGCCTCTATTGGCTTTCTGAATGGCACCCACTAGAGGCAGTCCTAACCCTGCAAGGTAATTATTGCAGTTTCTCAATAACTTCAATAGTCACTATTGCAGGGTTAAGGGGACAGTATCACTGCACCCACACCACTTCAATGAGCTGAAGTGGTCTGGGTGCCTATAGTCTGGGTACCTAGTCTGGGTCTTTTTAATTCATCCCCTTTCCAAGATTGCGGACATTGTTCGTGTTTTACATATTGTGTCTCTTGTTTCAGTTACTTGGTGTGAATATCTGTTGCAGTGTCCTTATACAAATATTACACCATTATATGCTACCCTGAACGCTCCCGTGATTTTGAGCACTCAGGCTAGCACATTATGATTATTAGTTATTTAGCCCCAATATGTTTTTGTTTCAATACTATTCCCTCCTAAAGGTAGACAGGATCTTAGATATAGATGGTACGGTAGGTCCAAATGCCTGGAGACTAAGGTATTTATTCTAGATCTAGTAGGAAATATAGCAAAATAAAAATGATCTATAAAAAACTGATAACACAACCAGGAGCTGAGGTAATAGTGAAATGTAAAAAGTACAAAAGTACAAAGCACAATAACTAAAACAAAAAGCAAACAAAAAAAAACATAAATATGTAAAATAAAGCTAAAAAGAAAGTAAAAAGAATAACTTGATAAAAAAAAAAAAAAAAAACAGTAAGTCCAAAATATAATATACTGGGAATAAAATTTAGGTGTAAAATGTGTGTAAAATTAAAGTGGAAATAACATAAGGTAAAACAGTGAAAATTTATAGATCTGTATAAGCAGTCCAACAGAAAGTCCCACAGAACGTAGAATGTAGCAAAAGGTGCCAAGTGATACAAGATCAAATAGCTTCCAGTAAAATCAAAGCACCTCCTATTGCTAAATATTCTAGTACCCTACAGGAACTATCAATGTAGGTACAGATAACCTTCTCAGTAATGTAATTCACTTTAACCCCTTAAGGACACATGATGGAAATATTCCGTCATTATTCCCTTTTATTTCAGAAGTTGTGTCCTTAAGGGGTTAACCATACACAAGGTAGTGAATACTAATACACTGTCAAGATCCGCAAAACAAAAAGCAAAACAAACATAGTATACTTCATTGAAACTGTATTTTATAAAGATAGATAAAAAACACTCACAATATTCAGAATGAAATTGCACCTGGAAATACGGATGGATATCAGGGCTTAAGCTAAACCAAGCAAAATGCGAAA